GGCCACGACGGGGCGCTGGGCCCGCGGTCGTCCAGCTGTTGGTCAGCTGATGGAGTTCTGGTGCAGTCTATAGCGCTATCCCTTTACAGAGGGTCTGCTTTCCCTCCCCACTGGCCAGCCAGCCTGGCCTTCTTGAGTCCTCTAAAGTAATTACTTTCACTCCAGAGTCAGATGCCACAAAATTTATGTATTTAACATCAGTTGCTTCCTGTAAAGCAAAATAAAATCCACAAAACCAAAATGGCAGTCTGGGTGTGGTGCCACACCTGTAATCCTGCCACTCAGCAGGCTGAGGCAGGAGGATTGCAGTTGGAGGCCAACCTGGGCAACTCAGAGAGACGGTATCTCAAAATAAAAGACACAAAGGGGATGTGGCCCAGTAGTAGAGCACCCTGGGTTCAATCCCAGTACAAAAAAAAAAAAGAGTGCAGGGGGGGTGGGCACCGCGTGGTGGGGAGCCGGAGCCTATGAGAGGGCCTGGGTTTGGCCCAGTGCAGGGTCAAAGGCAGCAGAGCCTTTTCAGCTGAGTCTGAGCTGGAAGCAGGCTCCTGGGCTGTAGACTGCTGTGCTGTGGAGGCCCGTTAGTCCCCCTGGCATCCCCCTGGTCTCCTGAAGGACAGACCAGTTAGGGAGACTGCCTGTTATGGTGAGAGGCAGACACACCAGCATCCTTGAGGGCAATGCTGAGAGGAGAGGGCTGGGGTTGGCCAGGGACACATGGGCACTTTCTGGCAGCCCTCTGCCCAAGTAGCTGTGCTTGGCCTGGGCGTCGACAGTTCTGCTGACCATCAGAAGCACAAGGCCCAGATCAGCTGATGGAGCCTCCCAGTGCTTACCATGCTCCCCTGTGGTCTGTGGACTCCACGCTGCCCCAGGGCACCAGCTTCCTCAGCTTGGAAGAGGTGAGTGGGAATGTGGAGCCGAGAAGCTGGGCTTCAGGGCGAGCTCTTGGGGGAMGAGCGGTCCCGGCGGCCGGGTACCTGAGCGTGGAGTGACAGGATGGTGCTGCCCTGGGCACCGTGCTCTGGCTCCGCCCACTGCACTCGTGACGTGCCTGGTCGGCTTCTGCTCTRTGCTGTGGGACACACCCAACTGGGTGATGCCCAGGCCACATGGCCACACATCTGTAGAACTCTGCTTGGCCTAGAGACATGTTCAAGAGCCACTGTGCATCGGGTCATGGAAACACCTGCAGGGCCACTGTGACCTTGGGGGGTCAGGAGAGCATGTGAAAACAGCAAGGGCCAGACTGAGCTCTTGGCCCCGCTGTCACTCCTGTGGCTGTGTAGCCTTTCTGCCTGTCAGTCCCTCTCCTGTAGCACAGTGGCACTGGGCTCCCCTGTGGGGAATGAGGACCCCCACACTGGGGTGAGTCCTGCAGGAAGCTGCACACCCGAGGGCAGAAACGCAGGTGTCTCACGTGCCTGGGAAGCCCCCCACGGAYGGCAGGCTGCAGCCTGTTACTGAAAGAACAGAACAGGTGGTGTGGAAACTGAGTGAGATTTCAACTCTGAGTGTCAGCGAGGTGAAAGAATGTGCTTGCTGCTGTTTCTAGAGGGGCGAGTGATAAGAGGGATCGTTGTGAGTCTCATGATCCAATCGGGAGGCCAGGAGGGCACCACACGAGGGTCACCTGCTGCCTTGCTGGCAGTCGCCACCCGTGGGGAACTGACCTCCAGCTCAGGAACAACGCCGCACCGTTTCCTACCCGGCTTCATTCAGGTGGCTGTGTCCCAGGGATCCCAGGTGCTCTCCATAGTCACTGTACAGCCTGACAGGGGCCCAGGGCTCTGCACCCGCTGACGTGCTGGTCACGTGGGCCTGCGTGTGGCTGTGCCTTTGTGAGCACGGAGTGCCAGACCCCAGGGCAGAGCAGGTGCCGCGGTGTGCAGCCAGGATAGACCTGCTGGGCTGGGCCCTGGCAGTCTGCAGGGCACCACAGCTCTGGGCTCAGGGCAGGGTGCGCTGCTGGTGAGGGCAGAGGGCACACACACCTGCTGAAGACAGAAGCAGGAAACACAGGCTCCAGAACTGTGGTGACACCACTCTCAGCAGGCTGTGGCTTCTTATCTTATTGACATGCTTCAGCCCTCTCACCGGCTATTTAGGGAGGAGCCATGGCATTCCTACACAATGACCACAGAGCTAAACTGAGCGTGCTCACAGCCGGCAAGTGGCATGGCGACGAGAAGGCATAGATGAAATCCAGTGACTCAGAAGCCACTCTCAGACCAGACCTCAGCTTTGCCATGACAGACTGATAATACCTGCWGGACTGAAGCGCATGCGACCTGCAGGAGAGCTGCCCTTCTAGGCACCGCTGTTTCTCCGAAACTCATAAAATCTGCTCCTGGCAGTTTAAGAGACTGTCCCCCCCAGATCCAGTCGACTCTGCAGTGTTCTCCAGAATTCACGATGAACAAGCAACGTCCAAGATGAACCACTCTGGCAGATCTTCAGCCTTGGTTCGTTGGAGTGGAGATGTAATCCCCAAAGGCTAGTGTATGAATGCTCCCAAGTTTTAAGCTGGTTTAATTTCACATTATGCACTAAATTAAGAACACGAAGACGCAATTTCTAATGCGGTAGCCAGCCCTTGCTCTGCGCGCACCAAAACAGCAGTGAACGGAGGCTCTGGGGCCGCCCCAGTGGAGACAGGGTGCTGGGCTTGACCCACAGTCTACCAGAAGCTGCTGTTCAAAGCTGTATCTGGTCGTCTCTGAATGATCCTGTCACCCAGAGACACCACGAGAGAAAAGGACTTGGGCCTGAACTCCCGAGGGACCCTGGTGACTCCGCCTTCCAGGCCGGGCTCAGAGGYGCCCTGCACCCCACCCCTGCCTGAGCAGTGCCCGAGTGCCCCAGGCTTCCCTACCTGTGGCAAGCGCCTCAGCGGTGGCCAAGTGCATGACGGTGTTGTCACTCACTGGCCACTTTCCGGGAGACAGCACCAGGTGGTCGAGTCCTCCGATCTTCCGCAGCTCCTCCTGGACGGAGCCCAAAGCGCTGTTCTCCCTGCAGACATTGGCGTAGCCCAGGGCGTCGCCCACACTCCCCAGCAGCATTGCGGCTGTGAACTTCTCCATCTCAGAGGTGGCTCCACACACCCTGCTGCTGCCTTTGTCCTTCCCTGGCCGCMCTCAGCCCACTTGCTGACATTTATACTGGTCATTGTATCGCTGTCCAGCGCCTCTAAGTGGCTAGGCACTCCTTTCCTATCTCCGCAGGTGGCACCAATGGGAAAAACTTTGACCCGACCACGTGGGCGGGCTCAGCCTCTGCAGTGTCTGGCTGCAGGCACTGGGCTGGCTGTCGGCACCCGGGCTGRCTGCAGGCGTCCAGAGCAACTCTGGCACCTCCTGGAAGGAGCGTGCCCACCCAGGGGCGGGGCAGGGCGTGCGCCTGGGACCTGAGCCGGCGTGCCTCTCAGCATGGCTGCCCTAGAGCCTCGGAGCCCACCCTGGCCCTCTGCTCTTCCCCAACCACCCCTGCGGTTTCTATAACTTTGCCTTTTCTAGAAATTTCAAACAAATGTATCTATCTCGCTACACGCTAAAAGTTTCTAGAAATTTGTGGCCTTGTGTCCTCTGAATGTCACTCATTAGTTTCATCCTTTAAAGAATGTTTCCAGATTATGAAATGTTGATAGAAAACTAAGTGAAGGGTCACGGTGCTCGGGCTCCTCATGGCAGATGAGGCACTACCTGGCCAACACCTGCAACAGGTCCCACAGGGCTCCAGGTGGGGATGGTGGCGGGGAYGACACAGCCTGGCGTCTGGGTACTCCACCAGAGCTCAAGGTGACGACCTGTGCCTGTCGGCTGGGAGAAGGACGCTCACAAGCATGGCCTACCACAGAGCTCCTGGCCTGAAGCCCACGACGGCGGCCCCCAGCTTCCCTCCTGCTGGCACCCGGACGCGAGGAGCCACTGAACTTCAGAAACCTGGCAGGAGCCTGAGTGCGGCAGGCCCYTGTGCTGTCCCCGGCACTGTGCACCACCAGCGCTTGCTGAACTGAGACGCCRGGCTGTTCTTCCAGGCAGCACAGTTTCAAGATTCTGAAACCCAAGTCCTTCAGAACCAGAAGGGGAGCAGGTTCCAGTGCAAACAGGACAGCACACCCACCAGGAGGGACAGTGCCCAGGCTGGGGTGCGGCGTGCTGGGCACACGCCTCACTGCTCAGAAGGGGTGGGAAGCTCTGCTGAGGGAGCTGGGGAATGATTTCCACACCATCTGCCTACGCCACAAGGAGCCAGGGGCAGGGCTCACACACGGCTCTGTCCACTCAGTTACTGACAGAGCCCCAACTCTGCCAGTCGGGTCGGGTAACAACAGAACTCGGCTCACTTTTTTTTGTGGTGCTGAGGACTGAGCCAGGGCCTTGTGCATGTGAGGCCAGCTCTCCAACTGACCAGATCCCCAGCGCCTCACTTCACTTTGTCCTCAGGAAGCCTGAAAGGTGCACAGTTCTGGAACACACTGTCAGTGCGGGAGGGGGTGGTGCCTGTCCAATACCCCAGGGAGGAGCTAGTACCGCAAGAGGGTCACTTTCAACCCAGCCTGGCTTCGTGTGTTTGGGTCCACAATTCCCATGCCCTCCTCTGAGGGCTCTTTATTGAGCGTGGGCGGTAACTTCTCAGAAGCTGTGACTGGCATCAGTGACACTGAGGAAGAACTGCAGAGACGGGAGCCGTCTGTCTGGGCCATGGTTACCTTCCTGGGTCGGACACCAGGGGGTCAGGGCCCCTGGACAAACAGCAAGGTCCCACCATCTGGTGGCAAATTATCTACACAACCAAGAAGATCAGAACATGGGCTGGGGATGTGGCTCAAGCGGTAGCGTGCTCGCCTGGCATGTGTGCGGCCCGGGTTCGATCCTCAGCACCACATACAAAGATGTTGTGTCCACCGAAAACTAAAAAATAAATATTAAAAAAAAAAAAAATCTCTCTCTCTCTCTCTCTCTCCTAAAAAAAAAAAAAAGATCAGAACGACACAGTCTGGGGAAAACACTTTATTGCGGTATTTTGAAGTTCTTAGCATCTTTGCAGCATGCAGGACTCAAAGGCTGACTAATGGAAGCAGCAGAACACAGGTCTTTGAAGTCTGACCAACTTCACTTCAGTATCTATCGACAGTCCCACAGAACTTCAAACTTACCCACAGAAGGACTGCGGGCCTCCCTCACTTAGTCACTGAATTCTACAAACTTCTCTGAACAGAACAGGAGTCCAGGCAGTCTAGGGGGGTGCTGTACTGCTTCTGGGTTTTTTATTACAGCCAGAGTTTATTTTATTGAAGAAATGCTGAGAGTTAGACTTAGAGATGGCTGTTTCCTYTTTCAGACAGGGCAAGAGAGCCTGAGAAAGGTCACATGGCCYGCCCTGAACAGACCAGCCTCGCCCTCAGGCCTCCGTCCCTGCTGCCCTCTGCAAGGCTTCCACTCTACAGCACTGGTAGTTGCCCACATTGCAGGGCACCTGGTCCKCAGGCTGCGAGGGGCTGCTCCCTAAGGCTGTGGCATGTCCACACAGAAGCTAAGCATAGAGCAGGTTCCAGGGGCACCCTGTGCACAGGACATGGAGATGGCCCAGAGAGCCCGGCCCGTCTCTCCATGGCATGCTGCAGGAGGGCAGCAAGGCACACTGTGGACAAGGTCTTGTCCATGTCCTCAGGTCAGCACAGTGCTGCTCAAAGCTCAACAGCAGGAGAGTGGCCCCCCGGGCCTCTGCACCTCATGCACCAGTGGCTCTGGGCGTAAACTCAGGCTCTAGCTTGCAAAAGAGATAAGGGTCCAGGTGTGGGCTTTGCGTCCACGTGAGGATGGCTGTAAGGCCAGACCCTGGGCATTGTGGGACTGCAGACAGGTGAAAGGGACAAGAACACTTGATTTTAAATTTGTAATTCACCATTCAAAAAGGAAAATGGAAAAATGTCTTTTTAAATAAAATATATTAAAAGTACAGAACTTCTCAGGAAGTGGAAATAGCATTGTCAGAAAGACAACAGTCTGATTGCAGCATCACGCCCACACACGACACCACTGCAGACTGCAACGGGGCCTTAAATATAAAATGGGTCTCAGATAAACATCCCGAGAGAACAAATATCCAAACCAGAGACAGCACAACCCCAGGAGGAACAGCGCTGGGTCCCTAGGTGAGCTGCATCCTGGCACTGGCCATCTGACTTGCACATAACCACATCCTCCCGGGACAGACAGGGCTCTGTACTGGGATCACCATGTGACGGGGTGCGATTGGTAACTGCTGGTGTTCACCCTGAACCTGCATCAGATAGCAATCTCCTAAGCAGCAGCTACAGCAAGCGTGCCGACCCCTGCGGTGGYTGTCCTCTGGGGGAGCAGCCCCATGGAGCCCGCCCCAGCCTCGTGGCTCTGAGCAGGAGGATGCGTTCCAGCTTTGGGATGGCAAGGACGGTGGCTGAGACTGGCAGCGAAGCACACAGCACCACCCGGTGTGCCCTGCAGGATGTGGGCTGGCTCCGGACCTGCTCCACCTTCAGCTGTGTTTTCCACCCGTGAGCACTGGCCGTGCATACTCCACAAAGTCATCGATGAGGACAGGCCACGCTCCTGGAGAAGCAGACACAAGTCTTCAGAAGTCACCATTAGCACCACTGCTACACTCAAAGCACTTTTTCCAAAATCCTATTTCAAGAATCCAAATGATCTGCAGTTCACAAAGCTCATGTTTCACCAAATAATTGGCTGAAACCACCTGATTCTTTTGCCAGCAGGCCAGGGTCAGTGAGCCATGGTGTGACGTGGCCTGTGGGCAGTACACTGCTCACTGACTGGGTGCTTCCTTGGTTGGCCTCCAGACAGTTGGGACCAGCCGATTTGGGACAGAAAGATGGAGCCATCTGTGCTCTGCAGGAAGGAGCAGCTGTCCTCTGCAGTCGGGGGCACTCTGCCCAGCAGTGGCACTGCCTCCCTGCTGGCTTCCCAGCCAGGTTCCTCACAAAGACAGCCCCACCCAGCCCAGGGTGTCCCCCCAGTCCCTACAGCCCCTGCACCAAGTGCTGTCCGAGCTGTCGGCCATCTGCATAGACGGTGACCTCCCAGAGCTGAGCTTGTGCAGGCTGCAGCACTTGATCTCCCCTGAGTCACTGCTCGGACCTACGTGAGCTGGACACCGGCTCGTGCTCAGGACAGAGAGAAGCTGTGCCACGGACAGCACTGCCAGGAGCAGGGAAAGGCCCCAGGGCTCCAGGAAGAGGGTCCCAGAGCAGTCCTGGCCAGCCCAGTGAGCACAGAGGCAGGTCCTGGAGGGGAGGCCTCTGCCTGGGCTGCCCCCCCCCAGAGTGGCATGCCTAGGCCCAGGAGGAACCCAGACCCCCAGAATAGGCCTAGGCATGGGRGCATCTAATGCACACAGCCACATAGGCCACCAGACATCTCCCTGCCAGCGGCAACAGCAAGCACTCTGTGGGACCCTCAGAAACCAACAGGAAGGGGCACTCTCTGCCCTCAGCTGTGGAAGGGCTGCCTGTCTGGCCAGTGCTGCCCTTCCCTCTGAAGTCCTACAGTGTCTAGTACCTTCTTCATCGTAGTTAGACATATCATCTGCAATCATGTTTCCAAAATCTAGCAGAAGGTTCCAAGTGTCCCGGGGAATCGATCTTTTGTGATGTTCCTAATACATAAGAGGGAAAAAACCCAGCAGATTAAGGTCCAGAGCTCAACCCTCAGAAATCTTAGTGGCCAAGGGTCCTCCATCCATGAAAGATCCTACTTATCTGACAGGCAAAAAGCACAGCCATGTCTGTCCCAAGGAGAAGCAGCAGTGGTACCTTGCTTAAGCACAGAGAGTGCCCCCGGAGCCAGTGTTCCAGTATAGACTGGCCTAAAGCAGAAGCAAATGTTTTAAATACTAAAATCATAAATTCCTGTGCGGTCAAACTGAAGGGCAGCATTTTCATCTCCTGACCTCTTTCCCCACCAACTCAGAGACACTGTGGGACAACAAGTGAATCATATTCCTATTGATCTCTACGTGTCTATTTTTCTCTGAATTTGCTAGCTCATGCGGGGGACGGGCTGACTCTGAAAGTATGTCAGTCGTATTTTAGAAACACCAAAGCCCTGAGGGCAAACGTGACACCTGGGCCCRCAGCAGGACCGCCCTGCCTCTCTCTCCAACTATTTCTTCTGCCTTCTTCAGAGGTGCTCATTCTCCTGAGGGTGGCACTGCCGTTCTGCCACACACATGCCCACGGCCACGAGCAGCTCAGGAGCTGAGCAGGTGCCACGAACCCTGAATCAACTACGGCAGTTCCCTACTGCTTGTCCTTCTCCATCCAGAGGGGCAGCACGCCCGCCCTGCGGCTCTCGGCCACCCTGCGCTGGCTCTGCTGTCCTGAGGCTCTCGGCTGTCCTGTGGCTCTCGGATGCGCTCGGCTCTGCTGTCCTGAGGCTCTCGGCTGCGCTGGCTCTGCTGTCCTGAGGCTCTCGGCTGCGCTGGCTCTGCTGTCCTGAGGCTCTCGGCCGTCCTGCGGCTCTCGGCTGCGCTCGGCCGCCCTGCGCTGGCTCTGCTGTGTTGACTTCTCACTTTGTGGCTCTGTGGCAAGGTCGGGGGCTGGGGTGTGGGGGTGGTGGGCACACTATCTAATACCCCATGGCTGCACACTATGGCCCAGCGGGACACAGTGCCTGACCCTGCCTGGCCTCGCTTGCTCCTAACAGGCCCAATAAGGCTCCTTGCCCTCCTGAGCACTGCAGAACATATTTTAAAACCTCCCCAGAACAGACACACGGTGGCTGCAACCTCTGGACACTGGGACCTGGTACACAGCTCTGGAGCCCCTGCCAACCGGCAGTGAGTTTGGCCCAGCCCTTTCCTCAAGGATTTGAAGTTTCTCAGGATTAACAGAGTTTTTTTGGCATGGGGTCCTTGGAGGAGATGGCGGATCCAGGTCTGCAGAGGTGCACCGCACTCTTCTAGAACCCATCTTGTGGGGTCTCTCCTGGCCTCGGCAGGGTGGAGCAGCACCTCTCCTGACACCAGAGCCCCTCCGAACAGGACCTGTCCACCTAGGACCTCCAGGTGGAAGGTGTCAGGTGATTATCATCACACTCAGCCTCAAAGCTGACGGCCTCCCCGTAGACTGGCACACCCAGCAGGAAACCCAGCACTTACCAGCAGAAATGTGTTCCAAAGATCTAAAAATTTAAACCTTCCCGATAACACTAATTTCCAATATGCAACAGCCATTTCTAAATCTGGCAAAAAAGAGAAATAGTAGTTAATAAATTCCTATCTCTTTTTCTACTGCATAAGAAATGATACTCACTTGATTGTTAAAATTTGGCAATTTTATCCAAGAGTCACATGAGGCCTAATCTCACTCAATTCAGGAATACAAATGTTCCTGAAAATGATATATATTTTAATTTTCTGAATCTGAGGAAATTTTATATTTTAATTATCTGAATCTGAGGAAATTTCTTGAAAAAAGGAATCGTACTGATATTTGGAAATGCAAGTAATCTGTACCCTAATGAGTCAGTTTGGGAGACTTCCATCTCATAGACACCAGTCCTTCGATAGTCCTGACTTGATCTGGTAACTATTAACGAATATCATTTATTTTTTGAAACAGCTGGAAACATCTTATCCAGAAAGAAGGGACCCCAGTCTCCACCAGCCTGCCCCCTCTTGCTGCCAACCAAGGCAGACTTAATGCTTGGGATCACTGGCTGCAAGCACATCAGCCAGGCACTCCAGCCACTCTGATCCCGCACTCTTGGTCAAGGTGATCAGCAATGTGGGGAGAAGGATGAGTAAGACTCTGGCGGCTTGTCAGTCAAAGCCAAAGCTCTCCTGGAAAGGCAGAGGTCGATTCTCGCCTTCTATGCAAACTCACGCTAGGGGTGCCACTTTAGATGCAGCTGAAGAAATGAAGGCTGTGCTTCAGGGCTGCAGCACACAGCATCTCCAAGCTACGGTTTTCCTGTACTCGTGGATTCTCTGTTGAATGGGAATTTTAAATCACTTCTTATGGGTTAGGATTGTGGCTCAGTGGCAGAGCACTTGTCTTGCATGGATGAGGCAATGGATTTGATCCTCAGCACCACATGAAAATAAATCACATAAAGGTATTGTGTCCATCTACAACTAAAAATATTTTAAAAAATCACTTCTTAATATGCTTGCCATAGTAAGTATGTAAGGGGTGAAGAAGTTTATTTCTTAAAATGGACCACCTTTCATCGGAATACAGCTTCCCTCTGGTAAGCAATACAAGGACGAGTTAGGTTGAAATAACTTCCTATTGCTGCTCACGTGTGTGTCAGGTCATGTGAAAGACTGATATATTAAGCTAAAAATTAGTTTAAATGCAAAACTAAATACTTTTCAAAAGATTTTTTTCTAGGTCTGGCTTAGTCCCACTTGACAGAAGCCATCAAGCTGGAACTCTGTGACCTGAGCTCTCCARGGCTGACCAGTAACACCAGGCGGAGGCGAACACCCAGCTGCAACCAGCACCAGCAGAGTGTCTTAAGCCTGTGTGCTCAGGTCTCCAGCAACGAGTCCAACAGAAAGACAGACAGACAGAAAGTTCCGAGTGCCGGGCACGTGAAGGAGCTGTCTGAGCCTTACCTAGGGGACTCGCAGGGTAATGCTAAGATGATTATCACGTCCTGCTCATAAGCCTACATCCTCACCACTTAGGAAGAACCCTAAGTGAGGTCTACATTCTACTAGTTTTACTGAGGACAAGGCTCTCCCATTGGGAAATGGAGCTGAACCTGGGGAGGAAGAAGACAGAGTTTTATGGCATATATGTGTGTGTGTGTGTGTGTATATATATATATATATATCATCTCGTTATTCCTGGGCTCATTTTGGTCCTTCCATATGAAGTATCTGTTTTGTATGTGTGCAAATCACATGACTAAAAAGTAAATGTACGTATTTTCAATATCTAATATTATTTGTGTAAAAATGTCACACTATACCAATGGACTTGGCTATTTTCAAAAGAAAACAACAAAAGTCAGAGTGGTAGAAGAGAGGCTGCRCTGGGGTGGGAGGTGCTCTGGTGCTAGATCTCCATGGCAGCAGTTTTCCCCCAAAACCTCTAAGACGTCTCATCTCCTGATGTTACCGCAGAATTCAGCTTGCAATGCTCAGTCGCGGGCTACATAATGAAGATGACCCACTGTCCAAAAAGGATCTTGGGCCAGACATAAAAATTAGTTTATTATCATGATACCTTCCCCCCAAAGCAAGATTCTCAAAGCCAATTGATTCTAGCTCTAGCCAATGTGAAGCCCTGAGGTTTTAGAGCCACACCGAGGCTGTAGCTCCATTGTAGCTCAATCCCCTGGCATGCTGGAGGACCGGGTTAGGTCCCTGGCACCACAGCAGTGAGTCTAACCACTCTACTCACCATAGGCTGACCACCAACTGAGTACAGGGGTTCAGTAATCACACACAGGAACAACACAGCAGTGAGATGTGCTGGTGGGCGCCTGCAGCCCCAGAGTTTGGGAGGCCAGGTAGGATGTCACTGRACCCCAGGAGTTGGAGCCCAGCACGGGAAACATAGCGATGGACACCCAGACTTGAGGGGAGAGCTGGACAAAGCTCTCCGGRTGCCACTGCCCGCTGCTGCCCATACCTCTGCTAGGAGGTGTGGGAAATGTGTGCCTATCTCTTTAGGCTGTGTGACTCTTTAGAAGGCAAATGTACAACAATGCACTTTGGAAAAGGCAAACTGATCATGTTTAGTCTAAGGAAATAAAAGGACAGTCCTTTGTTCTAGTAAAGGAACTATGAATTTGTCTTATCTCATTGGTGGGTCTCTTCTGTGGCTTGCCAGGCTGAACAGAGGCTCAGATCTCACACTGCTTCAGGACATTCCTTGCCCTAAGCTGAACATCGCTGAAACATTCAGAGGAAAAAATACATTTTTTAACTTAATTTTTTTTTTATTGTTGCAGCATTAGGACTAAACCCAGGGCCTTATGCACACCAGGCAAGCACTCTACCACTGAGCTATATCCCTGGCTTGAATYCCCCAACTTCAAATTAGGGAATTGCTTTAGGCTGCGACTTACCACCTTATGGAAGGTGGCAGTGTTGCACGGAGATCATGTGCCTGTGCAGCCCCTCCCTCCTGCAGCCCCTGAGCTGTARGAGGGCTGGGGAGAGTCCTGGAAAGAAAGCCAGATCCAGCAGGGTTCCTGGGTGCTTCCAGCAGCCCAGCCACCAGCTGAGATGACCCCGACTCTGTTGACCTGGGGGAACAGAAGGGTGGCCCCGCCAAGTCCTGCCTGAACCCCTGACCCTAAAGATCAGGTGCTGCAAAAAATGATGATCACCAGAAGCCASGAAGTTCCCAGGTGGTCTGGTCTGCAGAGGTACAGGCCGAGGAGTGGATCTGCAGCAAGAGTGAGACTCTGCCCCCGAAGCTCCCAGTGCTGAGGCTGCGGCAGGGGACCCTGCAGGGCCTAGAAGAAAGTTCTTCTACTGCTCTACATCTGAGGTTAACCTGGTGCCAAAAGACAGACATCCTCAACGCACAATCCCTACACATGGAAGGCAAATGGAGTGCTAACCCTGTCAGTACTTTTCACTTCAACACTGAATAGACGCAATCTCTTGGAATTCAAAACGTAAATTATTTATTGCTAACAAGTTTAATTATCCTAATATTATGCTGAAGATTCTGAAGAAAACAGAAAAATACTTTTTGATCATTCATTAAAAATTCAAGGTGTTCTTCCCTGACAACCATTTAATGCTAAAGAACAGATGTTATTTAAAAACTTGGATCAGACTGCTGCTTGCATCTTTTTTTTTTTTTTTTTTTTTGGGTACTGGGAACTGAATTCAGAGGTGTTCTACCATGGAGCTGTAGCCCCAGCCTTTTTTTATTTTTGAGACAGGGCCTTGCTAACTTGCTGAGGCTGGCCTTGAACTTGTGATCCTCCTGCTAAGCCTCCCAAGGTGCTGGGACCATGGGCTGTGTGCTGGCTGATAAACTAATGGTCATTTTGAAAATCGAAGTGGACAAATCTCTAGGAAATAAACTGCTCAAAGGAAAGCATTATCTAAACGCTCTGTCTGAGAAAAAATAATGGGAAGATCAAGGATTCTGAAGGCAGACCTGGAATGGCTGCCCGACCCTGCGTATGCATTTCATACCACTGAACTGTGCTCTAGGCTTCTCTGAACCCTCACAGAAACAGCAACAGCAGCCAGACAGCAAAACCAAACCCACAGGTGACATCTGCAATGAATCTAGATGTGAGGAGGTACCAGGAGGAACCCAAACCCACAGGTGACATCTGCAATACATCTTGAAGAAAAGAGCCCAGACAGGAAACCCAAGACCCAGCACCCCCACGTCAAAAGCAGGCCGCCAACACTGGGAAACACAGCAGAAGAGGAAGGCCATCCTGGCCACAGGTCCAGGAGCGCGGCCTCTGGGTCTGCAGCTGGGCTTCAGGAGACGGCGCAGCAGGGAAACAGGCAGGACTGCCAGCATCCTCCCTGCACAGGCTTGCGAGAAGTCAGGATGGAAAACCAGATGTTGGTGGCACTTTTCTACCTCTGGGAGTGTTAAGCCACTTTCCAGTTTCTTATGTAATTTTAGTCATCTTATGATACTGCTTTTATTTACAGGAGTTTTTCCTCAAACTACACTTTCTAAAAGACCACATAAAACTCCACCAACAAACATGTGAGATTTGAAAACTAAACAAGATCTATTACGTGCATGAGGCAACCAATCTATCAGCATAGATAGATTTTTAGAAAGAGGTAAGGCAGAAATAACTATGCGTAGGTGCAAAACAAAACAAATAAATCAAATTCTCAAACTAAACTTTTTTTTGTTGTCTGTTCTGGTATTAGGATTGAACCTGGAGTGCTTAACACTGGGCCACACCTTCAGCCCTTTTTATTGATTTCTGAGACATGGTTGCTGAGGCTGGCTTTGAACTTGTGATCCTCCTGCCTAAGCCTCCCAAACTGCTGGGATTTCAGGTGTGTGCTACTATGCCCAGCTCAAATTGAAAATTTAAGTTGAAAACATCCTGGATGCACTGCCTACAAAACACAAGCAGCCACACGACTGTGAAAGGAGGAACGAGGTGCACTTCCATGCACAGAACTGGCTCCGAGCAGGTCAGCTCCAGCTCCCCAGAACTGCCCGGTTAGCCTCACCTGGCCACTCTCAAGGAGASGACATGGAATACCTGTAACTCAGTCGATACCTCAGAATTTAGACAGTTAAACAGAGAGGATAAGATGGAGACACTGCTGGTTGAGGTTTTCAGGTGCGTGATGAACAGGACGGTAGCCGCGTGGCTGGCTGCACCGAGACCCCACGGACACAGCCAGTCCTCCCACGCAGACCAGGTGCTCACGGGGCGCCACCCAGGGCTCCTACTCACCTAGGCCCTTTTGCCCAGGGTTCTTAGCAAAGGTGAAGGTAAACTGGTAGAAGTCCTTGAACTTCACGGAGTCCTGCAGCTCTTGCTCTAGGCTGGGCAGAAGGGTTCTGAGCTTCTCGGTGGTGTCACACCTGTGACGAGAGATGGCTTGTCACCTGTGGCAGAAGACCTATTAGTGCTCCCCTCTCCCACCCCACAGGAGCTAGCCCCAGCTTCCCTCTTGACTGGGGTGGCCAAGGCCCAGTTCTATGACTACTGTGGGTGGGGCTGGGTGCACGGCTTCTCTCCCTGAGAACTCAGGTGCGGTGGGCTGTACTGTGGTGATGGTGCACAACTCTGCACATACCAAGGGCACCCACTGAGGACTCCGTGGTGAGGCACCTGGCCTCTCAGCCATGCTGGAGCGAAGCAGTCTATCCCTACACCTCTGACCACACGCTGAGGTCAAGGCCCCAAGGGTGGCAGAGGCAAGGTGCAAAGTCCCCGTGCCCACGAACACGAGATGGGCCACCCTGCCAGCTGGGCTACTGCTGCCTCCAAGCAGCCACCACGAATGAGCCTCATTCCTTCCTTCAGTATTGAGTGTAGCAGGTGCCCTTCAAATAGCTAGGTACTCTAAAAACTATTCCAGAATTAAACATACCATGTTGTGTTGACTTTTCCTCCAAAAAGTAAAGTATCTTTAAAAATATTAACTGATCTGGGCTAGGGTGCATCTCATAAGTACTTGCAAGCAAATATGAGGACCTGAGTTTGGATTCCAGTACCTCAAAAGAGGGGGGTAAAAACCTCAGTAAAAATAACAGACTCTTGGTCTGGGGTTGTGGCTCAGCGCTAGAGTGCTCGCCTCGCATGTGCAAGAAAGACCCTGGGCTCGATCCTCAGCAACACATAAAAATAAATAGGTGAAATAAAGGTACTATAACTAAAATATATTAAAAAATAAGTAAATAAAAAAATTAAAAGACTCTTTCTTATATCAGCTGCACAGCAAGGAACAGAATGGTGCTCCACTTCACGTACCCCTTACTCCCGTGCAGCAGAGTGGAGAAACTGGAGAGAGCCTGGGAGCACCATCACCACCTGCAGCAGGATGCCCTGGCCCTCAGTCTCCCTCCACCACTTCCACACCTCGAGCAGCACGCGCTGCACAGGAGCCTGGGGTCACCGAGAGCTGGCGAGGCCTGTTCTTGCGGTGTGTGAGCCACTGCTGATTTCCTCTTGCCATGCAGAACTCGGTCCTGCGGTGCTGGTGCTGAGCTTGCAGCTGCTTCCCTTTCAGTTGTGCCAAGAGTTCCAGCACAGGTGTGCTTGGGTTGGCACATGCCCACAGGGGCTGCACACCTCTCCCGAGGTCAGAATGACACCAGAGCTGGGTCCACTCCCACCCTGCACCTGTGCCTTTCTCTACAGGCCACCTGTTGGGTTCTATCTCACTGAGGCTTTGCCTGGACCTCCCCAGGAACAAGACCGTCTTCCTGTGCTTTCACTGGCCACGTGGGACCCTCTCTGGTGAAGCACTGATTCAAACTGCTTATTCTACAAGCGATTCTTCACTATTTGTAGGAATTCCTGAGACACAGGTGTTTGTCAGCTGTTTTAAAGAACTCTCCCAGAATGCCTGCTGCCTGCTTGCTTTTCCTATGGCTCACACTACAAGATACACAAAACACATGTGTGTGTGTGTACATATATATGATTTTTCCAGATACACAACACGTGTGTGTGTACGTACATATAATTTTTTGTTTTTTGGTACTGGGGATTGAACTCARAGAGTGCTTTACCACTGAGCCACATCCCAGCCCTTTACTTTTTATTTTGAGACAAGGTCTCACTAAGTGGCTTGAACTTGCGATCCTCCTGACTCAAGTTTCCCAAGTCGCTGGGATTACAGCTTGTCCACTGTGCCTGGTCCTAGATTCTCACTTTTAGTGTGGATACTCTAYCAGTCTTTTCCTTTATAGTGACTTTTTTCCCTTTGGTAGGGGTGACATGTTTTAAAACTTCCTAGTCACAACTGTGACTTGTGCTGGGCATTCAACTGAACTGGGCCTCACACTAGAGCAGGGGCTCTCCACGGGGTTATATGCTCAGCCCAGACGATCTTCTACATTTTCTAGAACTTTCTGCATTTGCCTTTAGCACTGAGATCTACAATCTTCAAACCCACTTTCATATATAACACTTACTCAAGTTTAACTTTTCCTTAAACCCAATTCTCCCAGGACATACAGGGGTGGACCACCAATGCCTGGCAGTATTTCGTATTTTTTTGATGATACTGAAAATAACATACATTTAAAAAATCCACTTGTTTTGTAGTATTTGGTCTCACACATCCTTAGATTTGTTGTAGGTGGACATGGACCTTTATTTTTATGTGGTGCTGAGGATTGAACCCAGTGCCTCACATGTGCCAGGCAGGCRCTCCACCACTGAGCCGCAGCCCCAGCCCCCATCTTTACATGTATCCTGTGTCTGTCCCTGTCTCAGGGGAGCAGCGGCTTATGATGCAGTAAGTACACTGTCTGTCCTAAGATTTACTGATGCATTCATCTGTTTCTTTTGGTCAAAGTCAGTCCAATCACGAGTGGACGTTCAGCTCCACAGGACATCTTATGCCCTGAGGTCCCCTTTTCTCTCCTTCTGTTGCTAATGGCTGTGTCACAAGTTTCCCACTCCTGGGGGACAGCAAGCCTTGCCATGATGCATCACCCTACCTTTCTGGCTGCGGATTTGCCTCAGGGCTGGATTTAGCATTTCTGCATCTTATGTTCCTCTTATAAACCTCCTGGGTCTTGTGCATGAACCTGGCTTTAATTCCCTGTTATCAGAACTTCCGTCTTAGTTTTTGTTTTTCAGGTTGTGTTGGCCTCAAAACAAATCAGAGACTGCTTCCATTATCTTGTCTGGAAGAAACTGATCACATTGTTCTTTATTATTTTATTTATTTAYATGCAGTGCTGAGAATTGAACCCAGTGCCTCACACATGCTGGGCAAGCGCTCTACCACTGAGCCACAACCCCAGCCCCACATTGTACTTTTAAAAAGAATCTATTTTGCATATACTGTTAAATGTATTGGTATGAAATTGTTCATAATAAATCTATTTCTTGATGTCTATAGGATCCACAGTGGTGCCCCTTTTCATTTTGTACTGGTCATTGTTATTTAAAGTTTCTAAAAAGTTTTTTCAAATAACATGCTTCTGGTTTTACACACCTTTTATATCCACAACTTCTTTTTTTTTTTTTTTTTTTACTCTTTTCTTTTTTTGGTACTGAGGGTAGAACCGAGGGCTTTGCTAATGCTAGGCAAGTGCACTATCACTGAGCTACATACCCAGCCCTCTGGGTATGTATTTCTACTTCTGCTTATTTTTAAAAATTAATGCTTTCTTCTACATCCTTTTGAGTTTAACTTCCTGCTCTTCTACTTTTGTTGACCCTGGAGGTGGAACCCAGGGCCTTGAGCATGCCAGGCAAGCTCTACCACTGAGTCGCACCCTAGTCTTCTTTTTCTACTACCTAACATGGACATTTTTGCATAATGATTGTCAGCCATTCTTCTTTCTCAAACATACATTTAAGAAGCTGAATCCCACAAGCGTTTTTTTTTTTTTTTGGGGGGGGGTACCAGGGATTGAACTTAGGGGCACTCGACCACTGAGCCACACCCCCAGCCCTATTTGTATTTTATTTAGTGACAGGGTCTCTCTGAGTTGCTTAGCACCTCACTTTTGCTGAGGCTGGCTCTGAACTCAAGATCTTCCTGTCTCAGCCTCCTGAGCCACTGGGATTGCAGGTGTGCACCAGCATGCCTGGCCCACAAGCTTTTGTAGCAATATTTTCTTCATCAATTATTTTCTAATTTCTACTGTGACTTTATTTTTCAAACCAAGRGTTATTAGAAGTGTGCAATATTTGCACATATTTCAACCCAGTCATCTTCTTAGTGACCCTAGTTTAGCTGCCTACAGTGAGAACACGTGCCTCTGTATCATCTTAATCCTCTACAATTTGTCTTAACTTTATGCTTATGCTGGATTTTTATGAATGCTCTATTTCCTGGAAAACGTAGGGCGCACTCATCAGCATCACAGGCACTGCTCCAAACATGCTCCCTAGGACGCTGTGTTGTCCAGTCTTTTGTTTCTTTACTGATTTTTCACTGGTTCAATTCATCAGTTACTAGGATGTGTGTGGGAATTCCTCACCTTGTATCTTCCTCTTTGTAGTTGTTTATTTTTGCTTTATTGAGCAAGTCCAGAAAAACAGGAAGGCTTTTGCTTCCCTAGTGAAATGAACCTTTCATCATTATGAAATGTCCTTCTTCGTCTTCAGAGCTGCTTTACTTTAACATCAACAGTGACGCAGCTTCAATGTCTGCATGACACATCGACTGCTGACCTTCCCTACTGGACCATGCCCTGCGTTTTAGTTGTATCTATAATTAACAACACGTGTCAGTTGATTCAACGGAATTTCTAAAATTTTTTGTTTTAAATAATTTTGTTATTTAGAAATTATATGTATTTACTCTCCTACTATTTGTGCGTAATTAGTAGTCAATATCTTCTCCCATGCGTTTATTTTCTTCTTTTGCAGTGCTGCGGACAGAACTCAGGGCCTTGTCTGTGCTGGAAAGTGCTACCATTCAGCCTTGTGCCTAACGCCCTTTTGAATGTTTACTAGTATCTTTGTACCAGTAGCAGTTAACTTGCATGAGGCCAGTGCCTCAGCATCTTCCTATGTGGCTGGTGCTTTCTGACTTCTCTAAGAACACATTTGATTCAGTGTTTCTTTATTCAGCATTGTACCCGAAAATGGGGATGGCTCACTCAGAGTTCCAAAGGACCAGGAGTACAAAGAAACCAGCTGCAGAACCACTGCCAGAGGGAGCTCTTTGTTGGTTTTGCACAATCACCAAGTGAGCATCATTAGGAGGAAAGGCTTGTGGAGTTCACTGGCCAAACAGACGGCCATATCAACTAGGAGGAAAGGCTTGTGGAGTTCACTGGCCAAACAGACGGCCATATCAACGCAAAGCGTCAGTTTGGTGGAAACACGGGCAAGGACTTTTACTTGAGAAATATAACAAGCAAAAAGCAAAGTGAGACTTTTATAAATAAGAATTATGTATTTAATATAATAAGTGTAATACATTATATAACATATAATAGCGTGAAATAGTTTGGTTGGAAAAAAACTCTACTATTGACMGTCAATTTAAATTTGGAAGGGAATAAAAAAGAAAATGAGTTATTAAAGGGGTAATGTGAATAAAAATAATAAATAAAACTTGAAACTGGAATTCAAAAGGCTTGTGTAGTTGTATAAGATATTTATAGAATATGTAAAGAAAATGTACAGATGTATAATTAGAAGTCCCCCCACCCCACCAGGGRTTCAACCCAGGGGCGCTTAACCACTGAGCCACATTTCCAGTCCTTTTTATTTTTATTTTAAGTTGCTTAGGGCCTTGCTGAGTTGGTGAGGCTGGCTTTGAACTTACAGTCCTCCTGCCTCAGCCTCCCAAGCTGCTGGGGTTATAGGCATGTGCCACTGTGCCCAGCCTAAAATTATAATTTATAAATTGAAAATTACTAACGTGGAAAGTATGTTCCCTTCTATAGAAGCTTAAACTAAGAACGGTTTACCTACCCCAGCTCRGTCATGCCGTCCATGAACTCCTTCCTGCTGAACTCGCACTGAGTGGCAGCCCTGAACTTCCATGCTATGACCAGAACGCTGACGCTGGTGGGGTCCAGCCTCAGATCGTCACAGAATTGCTGAATCCCGTCAATCCCGATTCTGTCTCCATCTTGCGGGTCTGTAGTTAAAGTCAATGGGGTTAGGGTCACACCACCTGGCTGCATAACTCCGGCAAGTAAACCTCAGACACACACCAATGGACTAGCTTTCTACTACCTATGAAAGAAACAGTGGGCAACAAGTAACGACTTACCCAGAAATCAGTCCTATCTTTAAAATCTAGATTTGCTTGCTTCTAACAGTGCTATGGGATTGAATCCGGTACCTCGGACAYACAAGGCAAGCTCTGTGCTGCTGAGCTGCATCCTCGTTTGATTTCTGGGTGTTATCATTCAGGAGTGAGTTTAAGGAGTGGTTGCTCAGGAGTAGAGTGCTGGCCTAACGTGCAGAAGGCCCTGGTTTGAGCGGGAGCACCACCACCACAAAAAAAAGGAGGAGGGAAAAAAAAAAAAAGACTGGGATGTAGACCCAAGGTAGAGAAGCTGTCTAGTGTGCACAAGGCTCTGTTTCATCTCTTGCACTGCAAAGCAATTCAATTTCCCTAAAGTAAGATAAAAATTCAAGTTTACAGAATTTTAGTTTCCTTGAAGACAAACTGCTACAAAAAATATTGCAGTGATAAAGGGTTTTGAATGCTTGGTATTTTTATCACAACTCCACCAAAGTAAAAAAGAATGATTGATCAAATTTTTTTCTCTTTAAGTCATTTCATTTGCTAATTCTAATGCTACTAAACAATTACTTTCCAAAATCATTTAGATTTGGAGACACTGTGGCACACACCTGTAGTACCTTGGGAGCTGAGGCAGGAGGATTGCAAGTTTGAGACCAGCCTCAGCATCTTAGCCAAACCAGTCACGAAATAAAAAATAAAAAGGGCTGGGGATGTAGCTCAGTGGTAAAGTACTCTGGGTTAAATCCTCAGTATTTTTTTTTAATTTTAATTTTTTTTAGTTGTAGTTGGACACTATACCTTTATTTTATTTATTTTTTAATGTGGTGCTGAGGATCGAACCCAGTCAGTGCCTTACATGTGCTGGGCGAGTACTCTACTGCTGAGCCACAACCCCAGTCCCTAAATCCTCAGTATTAAAAAAAAAATCAAATAAAAAAATTTGGCTTATGCATCTACACTTAACAGCATGGAAATTCAGGTCCCCCTACTTCTGCTTTAGAAATAAAATTAAGAAATTTAGCATCTGTCTATGAGAAAATCAAAACAGTAAAGTACACTGAAACAGCCCAGCAAGACCTCACTATACTGAGCCCTTTAATTTCAGAAGGATCATGTATGTTATCATATATCATCATAACTGTGTGTGGATTCTACTGGTACAGAGATACAAATAAAAAATCTAGAGCTTCTTTGTTCAAATAAAGCTCAGATGTGTTGAACTTTTCTTCTCCTTCATACGTAATTTAACTCTGGTCATTTAAGTACTAGATATCACATTTTTAAAATATGTTGTTTCTAAAGAAAAATTAACATAAATTATATAAACAAAACCAGAAACCCTTCTAACTGTATCTTCTCACACACAGAAACCAACCTCAGCTTTGGGAGTGTGACAAACGTTCTGTATTCTCTATTTCCATTTTATCTCCTGACATTACACCTCTGCAGATCAAAGAAAATTCCACTCTTACCAAACTAGCCATTCTGGTCAACTTCATGAGGTTCTCCTTCATTTGTATACATTAGATGTAGATATTAGTACACAGTCTTTGAATTATATATTTAGAACTCAAAAGGATGTAAAGTATTTGAATTATATATTTAGAATCCAAAAGGATGTAACTTAGAAGACTAGCCTGCATGAATAGAATCAAGTAATGATGAAGGGATGAAGCTTAGAAATATGTTTTCAAAGACAGCTCTATTTGAATAATTATAAAATTGTGCAAAGGATATGACTTACAGAATTAGCTAAAAAAACTAAACACTAAACAGTTTTCACTTTTTGAGAACTGTGATAATTACAAATCTAGTGTTTTTCATTTTTAACCATGTAGTAGGTTTCTGAACAGTTTTTTTTTTTTAAAGAATACAATTTTCAATTCATTTGCCCAACAGAGGGGGAGCAAGGAGACAGTATCTTTGAAAATAACAAATAAAAAAGTAAAAACCAAGAAAAATTTTCTATTGGGTGAACACTTGCTTAACTGAAAGTCTTTTTTTTAAAAAAAAAAAAAACCTTCAAAAACTACTAGAAAAAAAAGCAGTCCGTCAAGTGAATTGTTTCTGCCTTATTTGATACGAAATCTCCCGACCACCAGGGGTGTGGGTCTGTTCACGCTYTCACGCACACTCACTTTCATGGCATGGCTGCACTTTGATAAACAAAGCCACATGCTAGACTCCTTAATTAAAGTAAGTCATCTCCCATGTCCACATGGAGCTGTCTCACTGAGAGCGCCCCCACAAGCGACAGCGTGGCACGAGGGCGCCCCCAGGTGGGAGCGGGTGGTCACACCCTCACTCTTCAGTAGTGCTCTGCCACAGATGTTTCAATCTAGATAAATGGTGGCAAAGACCCCTGTGCTATCAGGTGTGGCCACAGGCAGACTCTAGGCCAGGACACTGAGCAGGGATGCCTCCCAGGACCACTAGGGTCACACTCCCTGCAGAGAACACGCTGTGGCTGCAGGTCACACCAGGCCAGCTTTCCAATGCCCCTCTTTCCCCTTTATTGAGAAAGGGGTTCTGGGGCTCAATGTGAGGAGGAGCAGCAGCTTGGAGCTCTGTGGTCCTTGGCACCCGAGGTCCCAGGAACAGTGCTCCCTCTGCTTGCTAGGGATGGCCTCTGGTCTGGCTCTGCTGCCACGTCATCCCTTACCTTTGTACCTGCCATACAGCTGCTCCAGCTTCCTCTGGTCCACAGCGTCCCGCATGGACTCCCTGTGGAACACGTCTGGGGTTTGGAAGAAGCTGGCTGTGGCCTCGTCTAGCTTCCACTCACTYTGCGTTAGGCAGTAGATGGCAGTTCTCTCACCAGCCTGAGTACACGCCATAAACTGGCGGACCTTGTCCTTCTGAGTCGACTTAAGCTTATGCTTTGGGATGCAAAAGAAGCAGGAGAGCCAATGAAGCCTCTCTAGGGTTTGTGTARGCCTCTACTTCTAATGCCTGCTTTTTAACTGGACTCAACTTCACTTCAGAGTTACAGGACACCAGAGTCTTGTTCATCAGTTAAAAAGACTCCACAGTCTTCTGAAAAGTGGAACGACAGCATCTATACAGCAACAGATATGCCAAGTCCAGTCCTCAACAAATTGTGAGAATCAGCCTTTTACAGAAAATACATTTGATCACTACCTGCTTCCCCTTACACAAGTAGAACAGTCCCTCGCTTGAAAATCTCAGCACGAGCTCTCGGCAAGTCTAGCCCTCTGAAGACGAGGTAGGACCTGACTTCAGGGCAGGGTCCATCTGCAGGGGCTTTGCTTCTATTGAGCCCAAGTGCGACTGAACAGGAGGGGCCAGCAGTTTGAAACATTGAGCTTTCCAGTTTAAAAACAACTACAGTAATGAAAACATGCACACATAAAATAATTATCACATCAGCAGCATAAAAAGTTTGTTGTGAYGAAATGAAAGTGATGACACTGGTCACAACATGTCTGTACGTGTGAGACMTAACAGGGCAGGGCAGGAGGGTAGGCAAAACCAGCAAGCTGCAAGGGCACTGCGCTATCTATAGTCCATGATGAAACAGCAGACACAGGGTGAAGGTCTCACTGCTCTAATGTCACCTGGTGASAGCAACACCAGTGCAGAGCAACTGCTAACTTGGGCAAATTAAAGCAATCACCGTGATCTACTAGGGGCTGATTCTTCTTTTTGTTTTTTAATATTTTTTATTTTTTGGTGTAGATGGACACAACACAATGCACTTTTTTTTTTCCTCACTTTTATGTGGTACTGAGGATTGAACCCAGGTCCTGCCTGTGCTAGGCGAGTGCTCTACCGCTGAGCCACAATCCCAGCCCCAGGGGCTGATTCTTTTTATTATACAAATGCTTTACCCAACACAAGGGGAAAAACTTTACTTACAAGGATTATATTCAATCTCGTTCAAATAAAGATGAGAATTTATAGAAACAGAATAAATTACAACCTACAGGAAGATGTAAACGGATGACAGATGGAGATGAAAAAACAGAAGCATGAGAAGAGCCAGGCTGTGACTGGCGTGAGGCCCTGGGTACCACAAGCAGAGCTGAGTACGGAGGAAGCAGGCTCCCCGCACGCAGGTGCCACAGCAGAGAATAGGTCAGTTAGGATAATGTCTTTTTAATCAACGTAAGAACCCACAGTGGGTTCTTACTGATCCTAGTGGTATCACTGATCCTAGTCTCGAACCTGAGGGAAGTGGCTCGGCCTGATTCCTCACCATCATGCCAAGAATAAGCACCAGAGGAAGCTGCAGAGGTTTCTAAGGCAACCCAAGCATGCTGGTAGCAGAACACCAGCACAACTCAGCAGGAGTCAGTGCAGCCAGACACACACAGCTGCTCCACAGGTTTTGGGCCCAAGACCTTTCCTGGATCTCACAATGTCAAAACTATTTCCTAAGAATTCAAAGCTGTCACTAGACAACCTCACGCTCATCTTCAGAGTGTGCAGGAGAGGCCTCCAGGCTGCCTGAGCCGTGATACCACAATAGGCTAAATGAAAAAGATTCAAGAACTTCTTTCCTATGATACCAGATATTAAAATTATCTGCTGGGGCTGTGGTTGTAGCTCAGTGGTAGAGCACTTGCCTAGCATGTGTGACGCACTGGGTTCAATCTCTAGCACCACATAAAAATAAATAAAATACAGATATTGTGTTCATCCACAACTAAGAAATTTTTAAAAATCTGCAAAAATGAAATGTAAAAAAGTAATGTGCTTGCAATTATTAATCCTCACATATTTAAAAACTTATTTTAATTCCTGATGCAGTGAACATCAATGTCCATTAACCACATAAACAAAAGCTCTTTGGGTCCCCAATCATTCTTAAAAACATAGGGCTGTGGCCATATGAATCTCYTGTGGTTCTGCCACTGCAGGTGGAAGCAGACAGTGGGAATGGTTTATACACAAGTGGGTGTGGCTGCTGGCCTTGACATTTCACTTATAAAAACAGGCAGCTAGCTTGTGACTGCTGAACTCGATCTAAATTCTAGAGTGACACATGGGACGTATATACATATACTATACGTTATTTCCCAAAACAGTTCTTGAAAAGAATAGACAAAGAATTCAAGGTTATATTCTCTAGTAAGATCAATCTAGTTAAATCAGGGAAGAGCTCACATGTCATGAGAGCCAGCTGACAAGTGATAAAGTCAGCATCTTTTTATGAAGATGGTCAAGGATGGACACAGCCAAGAGTTGCTTCAAAAACTAAGACAAGACACACATGCAATCAGAAAAAGTCCCTCCTGAGCAACAGCCATAGCTCCTTTATTATGGAAGAGCCAACCAACACCATCCTGGTCATAAAACAAAATTCAGTCCATCCATATAACGGAATGTTATTTAGCCATAAAGGAACAAAGTAATGGCATATGCCACAGTATGGGTGAACCTCAAAAGCAACATGCTGAGCAAAAGCCAGACCCAAAAGGCTACATGTCACATGATTCCATTTACAGGAAATGTTCAGAATAGGCAAATCTATAGAAACAGAAGGCAGATTAGAGGGTGCCAGGGGTTGGCAGGGAGGAGTTGGCAATGCTTGCTCATGAACAGGGTTTCCCTGGGAGTGATGAAAATGTTCTGAGACTTCATAGAAGTGGTGGTGGCAGAACACTGAATGTTCTAAACACTGACCTGCACAACTCAAAATAGCTAATTTTATGTCATGTGAACTCTACTTCAAAAAAATGTCAACATAACAGCTAGGCTTCCAAGACCAATGAGCAGAGTCACACACCCCAGGTGGCTGTGTAATTTGACCAGCATTACAGCACTGATGGCTCCACATCAGGAAAACATGGGTCAGGCCTGGTGGCGCACACCTGTAATCCCAGTGGCTCCCGAGGCTGAGACAAGAGGATCTCGAGTTCAAAGCCAGCCTCAGCAAAAGTGAGGCGTGAAGCAACTCAGTGAGACCCTGTCTCTAAATAAAACACAAAATAGGCTGGGGATGTGGCTCMGTGGTCAAGTGCCCCTGAGTTCAATCCCCCATCCCCGAAAGAAAACACAGACATCTGGAAGAGGGGATGATGTCTGACTCTGAGCTAGACTCCTGAGGATCATTTTTGGAGCCCTCCCCCCGGTGACCACACAGCTATGTCCACTGAGAATCACTTCTGGAGCCCTCCCCGGCGTGACAACAGTGCTACATTCACTGAAGAGAACATGCTTTGCAGATGCAGGTGAATATATCTAGGCCATTCCACATGGTTTTGAAACTTTCCACGTTAATCACAGAAGTAACTTAGGCAGAAGTGAAGACAGAAACACTGCCCCTTCTATGCGGGACAACCCAACTTTGGACTTCAACGGGTACCAAGGTGCTAGTTTGGCATGAGCAGCAGCAGCCATGAAGGAATAGCCCCAGGGGTATGTCAACAAAACTGCAAGATTTGATGTTTCCCACACCGGTTTCTCTATAAAGTAACTGCAATTGAAACAATGATCAACAGTTACATCGAAGGATTGCATGCACTTCATATCCAAAAGTAACTAGGAGATCCAGGTTCCACCGGTAGAAAAGGGAAAGTAAGGTTCATAAACTAAGCGCTGCCTCCATTTAGACACATGCAAATCAATGCAAGGTTAATCAAGGTCCGCAAACTGGCAGGACCAAGACCCAGGCGTAAGTGCTGATGACTTTCACCGAGGCTTACCAGGTCATGGAAATCAAAGCAGGGGGAAGGGAGTTTCCTAAGTCTTTTTAGTTTATTCTGCTAAAATGTACACAGTTCTTGACATAAAAATCTGGACAGTCCAGGGGAAAGAAACATCAAATAAAACCTCTAACCTGCTAAACCCTCAACGCTTTACGAGTGACCTTGTGAGGAGCCCGGCCCCAAGGACACCACGGGTGGCGTGACACACGCATCGCAGAGCATCCTTGCAGACAGGCTCAGGAGCACCTCCCTTCTCAGGGTCAACCTCCACGGCGGCCCAGGTAGCCGCCCCGCCTCGGGGCCCCAGAGCCCGCCACCGCGCAGTCCGACCCCCGCCTGCCTTCTCGGCGACCCGGGCCCCACGCCGGCTTCGTCCCCCGCGCTACGGGGCCGGCGGCGTCCTCTCGGGACCCTGTGGGCCCGTTGCCATCGCTCGGCCCCGGCCGGTCTCCGCCCGGGCCGACGGAGCTCGACGCCCGACACCTACCATGCTCGCCGGCCGGCACCCCAGCCGGCCCTTGGCGCAGGCGCGTGCAGTCCCGCCCCCGCCCGCCCTCTGCGCAGGCGCCTCCCGCCTGGCCSACCGCCGGCTCTCTGCGCAGGCGCGTCCCGCCTGGCCGACCGCCGGCTCTCTGCGCAGGCGCACGCCGTCGGGCGGCACCTGGGGCGTTCTCCTCCTCCCAGCTTCCGGCTGGCACGGCGTCGCCCCCTCTGGGCGAGCGGTTCTGCCGCTCCTCCTTCGGAGGCCACCACCGACCTGCGGCTCTCAGGCCTCGAGTCCACTGGGAGGAGGAGGAGGGTGCGACTGCACCGCGGAACTCCAGCTCCCGGAGTGCTCGGCGCCGCGCAGGGGCCGGCCGGACCGCCCACGCCCCGCCTCTTAAAGAGGCCGCGCCTGGCTCTTTGGCCCTGGAGGAGTTGCCCGCGCGGGGAGAGGGCGGTGGCGGTCCTTCGCCTCCTGGTCTCGTCTCCGGTTCCGCGTCCGATCCCGCGTCCCGTCTTTCCCCAGGCGGCCAAGAGAAGGGATGCGGGGAAGCCCGCGTCCAGAGCTTTGCTCGTGGCGCCGCGGAGCTCCGGATAGAGGACATTGATGCTTGGGCTGCACGTCCAGGGCGCGGCTACCTCGTCCCGGTGAGGGCCGTGGGTGCGCTGGGCCCCGTCCGTCCAGCGGCGAGCCCCAGGGGGCCCCTTCCCGGCGTGGGGCTCCCGCCCAGCAGAGGCCCCTTCCCGGCGTGGGGCTCCCGCCCAGCAGAGGCCCCTTCCCGGCGTGGGGCTCCTTGGTGGGGGAGTCCTTGGGGATCCTCCTTCACCAGGGCCCCCCCCGGAGTGGGCGTTCCCACAGGGGCTCTTCCCAAGGGAGGCATCTTCTCTGGGGGCGTCAGGGGAATCTTCCCAGATAGGCTTCTTCTCGTGGGTATTCTTCCTCCTGGGTGGGTGCAGGCTTGTGGGGCTTTCTTCTCTGAGAGCTACCTTTGGTGGGGCAGGTCTCTTCTTGGTGGGTGCTCCCCTTCCCAGAGGATTCCTTCCTGGGGGCTCCCCTCCCCTAATGGGCACTAAGAGGTCASCTATCCTGCTCCCTGGAGCTTACTGGTCTGTCTTGCCCCGTGTTAAGGCGAATTAGCAGTCGTCCTTTACCGTCTATTTAAAGACAGATCAGACCCAGGTTTGCTGATCAGGGCCAGCATGCCGTGTTCCGCAAGGCTTTCACTTAAGCTTACAGAGCCTGGAAGGTGTCAGAGTAGACAAAATAACCAGGATGGTTTGCACATCCCCTGGGAGGCCTTAGTTCATAACCTAGTTGTGAATTGTTTGGGAGTGACCAATTAAATAAGTCCAAAGTGACAGAAGGTCTAGCATATCTGCCCGCCTCACTGTCCCACCTCTTTTTGCTCCTTTGCAGCCTCTTGCAACCCTTCAGAAGGAGAAGGGGGACTGGGTAGACTTTGTGACTTGGTCTTTACTAGCCAGTTCACCTCCTGGCCACCTAGTGCAGGTTTCTTGCTGCTGGAGAGATGTTTGCTACTGAGAGGGCACTTATTCACGAGTCTCCTTTTTCCTTCCTTGTTGGCTTTCTTGGCACTGAAGGAGGAGCAAACCCGAGCAGCTGGCCTGCAGCTCCTTGTATGGCCCTGCTTCTCTCTGTTCTTTGACAGTCTCACCTGGTACCACCTGAGCAAACAGTAGCTGTTTAAACACCCTGAGGGACACTCAAGGTTGCAGGGCACATCCCTGTTTTCCTGCTCAGCCTCTGCACATTTTCCTGATCATTCTTAGAATCAAAACTTATTGGTCTTGCATATTGTCTTGTTTTTTTTTTTCAAACAGTAGAATCTCGTGATGGGATTAACTAATGAAATATTTGCTTTTTCTAGAGGTTTTATAGTTTAAAGCTTTTTAATAGCCTCAGTAATTACCTTCTTTTCCTTTCCTTCCTCCTCCTTGTTCTCTAATTCTTTTACTAATTTGAAATGAATAATGTATTTATAAATCATTTATTTCATTTTTGGCAACTGTCAGTTTATTTGTAGGATCATAAGTGCTCCATTTTTAGAAAATGTACTTTAAAGTTTAAAATTGATCTTTAAGAAAAAGGCTCCATAAAGAGACTTCAGGTCACTCACTCCATCGAGGTGGTCTTGCCTGCTCGTGGCTCTCTTCCTCTTTGCCCACACAAATGCTGCCTGTGCTGAACTTGGACATGTGGCAGTAATGTGAAGAAATCAGAGGCACCTCCTGTTTTTTCTCTTGCAGGAGAAGCTAGATGACTCTCTGTTAGACACGTACTCAGCTCCCTACACATTCCCCCACAGGCTCAGGAATTCCCTGCCAGAGACCCACAGGGAGCTGCCCTCCATTGGGGTGATCATGCACTCCCACTCACTAGGGCCCTAGCTTCAGCTGAATGGACCAGGAGCTGGCTGTCCCCACAGCTGTCCCCCAGCTTGCACACTCAGGAGAGAAGTTGGCCTGGTAGGGACCATCTCGGTTGTGGCATCTGCCTGACAGACCCACCTGATGGTGCCACTTCACAAACACTCTAGGGGTGGCTAAGTCGACTTTATTTCCCACCGTGTGGCTTGGTGCACACTGAGCAAACGGGTGGCACAGGTCCCAAGGAAGAGAGGGCAGCAAGTTATCTGATAGGCCAAGGAGAGCACCAGCTTCTCAAAACTCATGCAGACACAGACCATGGAGTTCCCTGAAAGGACTGCCCTGATGCTTGTCCCCTGTGCTCTCTAGCAGGTGGTGCTATGTGCTGCCCCCGTACCTGAGGGCCCTTGCTCTGGGTATCGAACCCGGGGTGCCCTACCATTGAGCTACATACTGGTCCTTTATTTTTAGACAGGGTGTTGCTGAGCTGCTTAAGATCTCACTGAGTAGCTGTGGCTGGACTCCAGCCTCTGGAGTCTCTGAGATGATGGGCATTTGCCACCGTGCTTGGCTCAAAGTGTTGATTTTGCTCTCGTAAATAAAAAGTGTCACTGGTAGACTCTTAGTGTCACTGGTAGGCTGCACTGTAGAGCTGCAGCCATCCCTGTGCTTGGCCTGCCCACTGGCGGACTGTTGSCCTGGTCACTGTAGACTCGGCGGCCTGTTCACAGATGGACCCCATGCCTACCCACTGGCGGAGTCCCTTGCCCTGTGTGTGTCCCAGTGAGTGCAGGTGAGGGGCTGTGCTGGCTCCTTCCAGCATTTCCTTCCCTGGAGGATCCTAGTCCCTTTTAGCCGCAGACACCTCTCCCCCTCCCTCACCCTGAGAGCCACTCATCTGTCCTGCGTCTTGTGCCACTGTGAGGCACTTATGTAAAGGGAATTGTGTAGGATGTGGTCTTTGGAGGTTCCCTTTACTCAGCCTCAAGATCTGTTCATGTTGTTGAACATATCGATAGTTCACTATTACAAGAATCCAAATGTCTTGTTAGCAACTAAAAAAATAACAATACTGGAAGTAAAAATATTTAAAGTTTGCTCAAGAGGAAACATGGTATAATTTAGTAGTCCATAGGATTTTGTAGACAGGCTTGAAAGTAAAATGATATGAGCTTTTGAAAATGAGTGATGTGCATTAAGAATGTATAAGTGCAGGGCACAGTGGCACAGGCCTGTAATCCCAGTAGCTTGGGAGGCTGAGACAGGAGAATTGTGAGTTCAAAGCCAGCCTCAGCATCTGTGAGACCCTGTCTCTAAATAAAATACAAAATAGGGCTGGGGATGTGGCTCAGTGGTTGAGTGTCCCTGAGTTCAATCCCTGGTACAAAAAAAAAAAAAAAACAAAAAAGAATAATAAATAAATAAATATACACACGTATGTATGTATATATGTAATTTCAATATCATGCTGATGATATGAAACATCTCAGTGGTGAATATTAATGTGACTACAACTGAAATCCTAAAAGAAAAATTAGTAACTCCCTTAGGTGTGGGGGTAAAGGGATAACTTTAATTTCCAGAACCTGGTTGAGGAAAGAACCAGAAATGTGCACAGAGAGGTGTTACGTACAAACTGCATTGCAAGTTGTTTTTCTGAAGCATGAAACCACAAAAGAACCACTTTTAGGGCTGGGAATTTACGTAACGGTAGAGTACTTGCCCAGCAAGTGAAGGCCCTAGTTCAATTCCTAGTACTGCCAAAAAAAAAAAAAAATCACCTTTGGAGATGTTCTGGGGAAGATGGAAGCATGAAGGCAGCACCTCAGATTTCTGTCTGGGTCTGGAGGTCTCCTCCCAGCAGGTCCTCACTGCTCTGCAGTGGGCTCGAAGCTGGCATCGTGAGATGGGTGCTTTGCTGGGAGCTGAGCTGCAGCCATCCTTGTGCTGCATTAGCTCAGTCCTTTTGGGGTCTGGCTTCTAAAAGATGCACTGAAATCCAGCTCTGAGTTTCTGTGATAGAAAAGGTTTGAGCAGTTAGTAGGGGTCATAGGTATTTTATTATTTTTTTATTTTTCTATCTAAATCTCTTATTAGCTCTTAACTGTGCTGACTTTGGAAATTTGGCAAGACTCCAAGTGATTCTGGAAAGCCAGCAGGGTGACTGAGGGGCCATGTCTCAGGAGATGGCCTTTCTGAAATGCTCCTGAACATGGTCCCAGAGGCCGGCCCACCTGAGATGGTGTTTTCTGGGCTTTGATATGTATAGTCCCTCTTGGGTAGAACTGGCTTCTATCTTTCGTACATGGTAGATCTGGTAGAAATACAAAGCTTAAGATTTCTAAAAATCACCTTTAAAGTGAGATGTAACTGACCTTTCATCTCTGTGCCAGGCAGCCAAGAGGCACTTACTCCATCACTTAGTGTTTGAGTGAAGTGGTTCAGATGTTGTTAGTGATCCAGGAAGAATGGCGTTTTCTTTAGAAAGCTTASAGTGTCCTGGTATGTTGGTATTTAACTTGGGTCAGTAGCTGTGAGCTGTAGTTCAGCCGTGTGTGACAGGAAATCTGTTTTTCAGCTGACAATGTGCACAGAAGATGCAGCCTGACCCGAGCTGCCGTCTGGAGCCCTGGCTGTGCTGGGACCATGAGGGYCTTGGAGGACAGTCTCTTCTGGATGCTGCTCCTGGCCCTCTGCTGGGTGGCAAGTGCCACAGAGCATGCGGAGGTGGCAAAACATGCCATCAAGCTGCACCGCGGCAAGGGAGCACCTGCCGCCCAGAGGAGGCAGTGGGCCCTGGACAGCTGCAGGAAGCTCACCGGGCTCCTTCGGCAGAAGAGTGTTGTTCTCCACAAGCTGAAGAGTGCCATCAGAGCGGTGGAAAAAGACGCTGGCCTGTCAGATGAAGAGAAGCTGTTCCAGGTGCACACGTTTGAGATTTTCCAGAAGGAACTGAATGAAAGTGAGAATTCCGTCTTCCAGGCCATCCACGGGCTGCAGAGAGCCCTGCAGGGGGACTACAGAGAYGTGGTCAACATGAAGGAGAGCAGCAGGCAGCGGCTGGAGGCCCTGCGGGAGGCCGCCATCAAGGTCAGCCATGTGGCCAGTCCTGCCCAGAGCTGTGATCTGGGGTGGGGCGGGGGTCTCGGGAGCCTCTGGGTGCCAGTCACTTCTAGGAGGGGCCAGCCCTTCAGCACTCTGTTGTGGAGACCCCCGAGTCTGGCTGAGCACTGACGGGCGGGAAYGCCTGCAGCCTTGCGCTCCTGTGAGGGCTCGGCCACCTGCAGTGGGCCTGAGAGTGTCCACCAGGGACTCCCTGACCAGCCCCGGGTGTGCCAGGACTCTGGCCTACGTGCAGCTGCAGAGTTGCCTTTCCAGGCCCTTCTCAGAACACGGTGCCATGGTCCTTGAGGGACGCTGGCTGCAGCTGTGACCTGGGTCTCTTGCCAGATTCTCTTCTGAGTGAAGCCTGTGTTCTTCATGGCCTTACAACAAAAACAAAGATATAAAAATACTTATAAACAGATGTGTGCCCGTGAGGTGAGGCTTTGGACCAAGTGTGCTTCTAAAGGGGGCCACTGTGCCAGTGTTTCCACAGGCACTGCCCAGCACCTGCAACTCGCCAGGCGCCACACCCAGGCTCAGACAGCAAGTGCCACTTCCCCTTCGTGGAAGGCCTCAGGCTGTCAYGGCTTGAAAGGAGATATAACTTTCTTAGGACGGTCGCCAAAACAAGGGTGTTTTTTGGTAGGATACAACAGTCAGACAAGCATTCAAATCAAGGCATTCAGTGACCTGACTTGGCTGCCTGCCTGTTGCTGCCTGCCTATTGCCCATGTTTCAACCCTTGGGACAGTCGAGGTGCTAAGACCCTTTTTTTGTTTGTTTTAATATTTTTTATTTGTTGATGGACCTTGATTTTATTTCGATGTGGTGCTGAGAATTGATCCCAGTGCCCCACACATGCTAGGCAAGCACTGTACCACTGAGCTACAACTCCAGCCCCGACCCTTTGGTTATAAGAGGAATTCTGGTGGACTCCAGGTTTGCAGTCGTCTGTTAGGGAGAAGACTTGTGAGTCTGGTGGCCACAGTCCAGAATTGCAGGCCATGTCACACCCTGCATGCTGCAGCCTGTATCTGTCATGCCTCAGGGTTCCGTGGTCCTCCAGGGTGGCTGCAGCCACCGTTGGGGCCCTGGGGAAGGGACAGGGGTTACTGCAATCACAGAAGAGCCACGCTGCTGTGGTAGCTGGCCACGGCTCAGTCCCAGCCAGGTTCCCTTCTTGAAACATGAGAAAACGTTTTAAAAGTCAGGTTATCAGTTGACTAGGGTTGTGTAAAGTATGTTTACTAAGCATGATGACCAGCACCGCCCATGAGTGTCCCAAATAACCAACACTTTCTACTTTACCGTGTTTTTCTGGACCCGTTAGTCGCCCCGTCTGATGGGATGGGACCGCATCCTGCTGTAGAAATCCCAGAGGTAGCTACACACCAGGTGTTGCTGCTGGCTTTCAGGCAGGGATGTGCTTCCTGAGCGGCAGCACTCGGCAGTTTGTGAGGTGGCCTTAAGGGATGTTTGACCCACCTGCAGTGGACACTGCCTCCCTGGGGTAGAGGTGTAGACGCTGTCCCTGAGCTAGACCTACCTGCAGTGGACACTGCCTTCCCCAGGGGTGGAGGTGCAGATGCTCTCCCTGAGCTGGACCCACCTGCAGTAGACACTGCCTTCCCAGGGGTGGAGGTGCAGACGCTATTCCTGAGCTGGACCCACCTGCAGTGGACACTGCCTTCCCAGGGGTGGAGGTGTAGACGCTGTCCCTGAGCTGGACCCACCTGCAGTGGACACTGCCTTCCCAGGGGTGGAGGTGCAGACGCTGTCCCTGAGCTGGACCCACCTGCAGTGGACACTGCCTTCCCAGGGGTGGAGGTGCAGACGCTGTCCCTGAGCTGGACCCACCTGCAGGGGACCCTGCCTTCCCTGGGGTGGAGGTGCAGATGCTCTCCCTGAGCTGGACCCACCTGCAGTGGACACTGCCTCCCTGGGGTGGAGGTGCAGACACTGTCCCTGAGCTGGACCCACCTGCAGTGGACACTGCCTTCCCAGGGGTGGAGGTG